TGGGATTGGCAATGGTAATGGTAATGACAATGGTAATGGTAATTGTACTGGTAATGGTAACGGTAATGGTAATGGTAACGGGGTAGCGATTAGCAATGGCAGCGACAATGACAATAGCAACGGTAATGGTAATGGCAATGGCAATGGCAACGGTAATTGTTATGGTAATGGTAATGGGAATGGGAACGGGAATGGGAACGGGAATGTGAATGGGAATGGGAACGGGAATGGAAATGGTAGTGGTAACGGAAATGGGAATGGCAAGGGTAAGGGTAAAGGTAGAGGTAGAGGTAAAGATAATGGTAATGGTAATGGTAATGGCAATGGTAATGCAATGGAAACGGTAATGGGACTGGACATGGTACTGGCAATGGTAATGGTAGTGGCTAACGGCAATGGCAATGGCAATGCTAATACTAATGGTAATGACAGAGGTAATGGTACTGGTAATGATAACGGTAATGGTAATGGTACTGGTAACGGGGTAGCGACTGGCAATGGCAATGACAATGACAATGGCAACGGTAATGGGAATGGCAATGGCAATGGGATTGGCAATGGCAATGGCAATGGCAATGGCAATGGTAATGGCCATGGCAATGGCAATGGTACTGGTAATGGTACTGGTAATGGTAATGGGAATCGGAACGGGAATGGGAATGTGAATGGGAATGGGAATAGGAATGCGAACGGGAACGGGAATGGAAATGGTAGTGGTGGTGGCAACGGAAATGGGAATGGTAAGGGTAGGGTAAGGGTCAAGCTAGCCAGCTCGAGCGAGTCAAGCATGGCATGCCCATTCCCACCCGCCCTCCCACAACATAAGAAACAGTGATGGCACAACTGGGGGCTGCGCGGGCATTTCAGTGTCGCAGGTCCCCGAGCGCTGACTTCCAGGTCCCAGAGCGCCCCAGGAACGCCCCAAGAGAGCCGAGACGCCCCCGAGACGATCCGAGGGGCCTTGAGTGGCCGAAAGATCGTTCCAAGACGCCCAAGATGGCCTCCAGACGGCCGCAGACGCCGCCAAGAAACCGCGGGGGGCTTCAGGAGGCCCTCCAAGAGCCTGGACAAGCAAAAACCCCCCAGGCATTTGTCACCCCAGGGCCTCCTGGAACGCCCCGGCGCCCAATGAATTGGCGAGCTAAAAACGTGCGCCGAGCCAAAGCGGGAGCGCAACTTTGAGAAAATTTCGCTCGGCGCCCAAGCGGGAAGGTCATTTCATTCACTTCGAGCGGGGGGGGGGTGTGCCGCGCCAAATTCTTGCCATGCACTTTTGCGGAGTGGGCGACAAGAACAGCTATGTGAGCAGGAAAAATCAGCATGGCATTGTTTCTGACAAGTAAGGTGGCCCCTCCCGCCTAAAGGTAATGGTAATGTGAATGGGAATGGGAATGGGAATCGTAATGGTAATTGGAACGGGAACGGGAATGGAAATGGTAGTGGTAGTGGTAATGATAATGGCAATGGTAATGGTAATGGTAATGGTACTGGTAACGGTAATGGTAATGGCAATGGTGATGGGAATGGTACTGGTAATAGTAATGGTAATGGTAATGGTACCGGTAATGGTAATGGCAACGGGGTAGCGACTGGCAATGGCAATACAATGGCAAAAGCAACGGTAACGGTAATGGCAATGGCAATGGCAATGACAATGGAAATTGTAATGGCCATAAAAAAAGGTAATGGTAATGGTAAAGTAGAGGTAACGGTAAAGATAAAGGTAAAGGTAATGGTAATGTGAATGGGAATGGGAATGGGAATGGTAGTGGTAGTTAGTGGTAACGGAAACGGGAATTCTAAGGGTAAGGGTACAGGTAAAGGTATGGGTAAAGGTAATGGTAATGGTAATGGTAATGTTAATGGCAATGGCAATGGCAATAGTAATGGTAATGGTAATGGTAATGGTAACGGTAATGGTATTGGGAATGGCAATGGGAATGGCAATGGCAATGACAATGGCAATTGTAATGGTAATGGTAATGGTACCGGTAATGGTAATGGTAATGGTGATGGTAAAGCTAACGTTAATGGTATTGGGAATGGGAATGGGAGTGGGAATGGACTGGCAATGGCAATTGTACTGGTACTGGCAATGGCAATGGTAGTGGGAATGGGAATGGGAATGGGAATGGTAAAGGTAATGGTAAAGGTAATGGTAATGGTAGAGGTAGTGGTAGTTGTAGTGGTAGTGGCAATGGTAATGGTGATGGTAATGGTAATGGAAGTGGTAATGGTAATGGTAAGGATAATGATGAGGAGCAACGTAAAAGATCGTAAACAACTCGTCTGTAACCCACAGCGACTCCACAATCCCCCGGCCTCCTCCTCCTCCTCCTCCTCCTCCTCCTCCCTCTCCTCCTCCTCCTCCTCCTCCTCCTCCTCCTCCTCCTCCTCCTCCTCCTCCTCCTCCTCCTCCTCCTCTCCCCTCCCCCTCTCCTCCTCTCCCCTCCCCCTCTCCTCCTCGCCCTGACCCCTCCCCCTTCCCAGGCCCGCCCTGGCCCGCCCTCACCCTCTTGCCCGCGGCCCTCGACCTCCTGCTCCACTCCGCCTCCCACGGCGTTGGTGCCACCGCGCCGATGCGCCGCTGCCCCAGGGCAGGCCCAGGTGAGTACCGTTTGACCGGTCCCCACCCCCAGGGGCGTGGCCTGGGCCCTAGTGGCCGATTTGCCCCCCCCCCCCCCCAGATGGGGATATGGGTCGTCCCCCTCCGGGTTTCGAGGGGCGCCTCCCCAACTGGGGTGGTCATCTGGTGGGGGTCTCGAAGGGGACGGGGATTGGGATGGGCCGGGATGGGGAGTGGTCATACGACACCGACCAGGGGCGCGGCAGGACGGGGCACGCGCGGAAGGCCGCGGGGCCCTCGGCCCCTCGACGGCGGGCCTTCCCGCCGGGGGCCCTGGCTCGACACGCGGGGGCATGGCGACGCAGGGCGCACCTGTCGTGGCCCTCTGGGGCCCCAGGGAGGGTCCTTCTGGGCCCGGCGGAGGCGGACGAAAGGCGCACTTCTCTGGACACCTCCGTGCATCGCCCCGCCCCAGCACCCGACGCCCGCCGCCACCCCATCCCCTTCCTCCTCCAGCTCCGCGCGGTTCTCCTCCTCCTCCTCCTCCTCCTCCTCCTCCCTCTCCTCCTCCTCCTCCTCAGCCTCCTCCTCCTCTCCTCCTCCTCCTCCTCCTCCTCCTCCTCCTCCTCCTCCTCCTCCCGAGGTGGTTGCTTATTCAGAACTTCCAGCAGCGGCCTCCCTTGCCCGAGGCGTGGGCTGGTGGGGCCCCGGGCCGCCTGTTCACGCGTGGGCGGGGTGGGTGGGGCACGCGTGGGGGGCGGGGGCGCTCCGCGCTCGCCACCGCTTGCGCGCGGGCACCGGCATGTATGGGGGGGGGGGGGGGGTGCGCCCACCCTCCTCCCCGGGGGAAGAGGGTGGGCGCCCCCTCCGCCCCCGTTCTCCTCCACCAGCTCCCCTCCCCCTGTCCCCACCCCCCCCTCCTGCTCCGCCAGCTCTCCCTCTGCCCCCTCTACCCTCCTCCTGCCGCCGACTTCCCTCGTCCTGCTCCTGGGCACTGGGAGGCGCTCAGCGACAACATCGCTTCCACAGTGCAGGATTCATGCCCCCCACCACGTTCTCAAATGCACTGAATTTGGCAGCCTTTTCCTGCTGGCACCGGCCTCAGGGCGTCATCGATACCCGCGTCGCCCCCGGTGTGTGTCCGACATGTGCTAGGGCGTCCCTCGCAGCGTACCCTCCTGCCTTCTCCTGTGGTGGCCAGGTTTGCGTTGAATGAAGAACGGAGATCTACGCACCGCGGGTGAAGGACCATTGGGGTTCATGGGGAGACGTCTCCTCACCGCATTCGCGTCTTCCTGACATGCCTCTCTTCACGCATCCTGCCTCGAAGGGGTGCTGCCAGTTTTCCTCTGCAAGGACATAGCATCGCATATTCGTGGTGGAAGACCTTTGCACATGCACGAGCACACGCAGCTTTCGCGTGGGGCGCGAATTGTGTAGCGATGTTCGGCCACGGACTTCTCCTCAGAGACCGCTATGCTGCCAGATCGGCGTGACCCAGGAATGGCAACTTGTCAGGCAGAGCACTGCATACTGCAAAAGTCTAGAGCACTAAAGCATTAGCCTACACCTGAATCATGAAGCGGATTGCCCTGGCTCGGACACATGTAGACTGTAGACTTGGACGCGAAACAGGCATAACTACTCAAACATCAGTTGGCTTCGATGGTTGCTCACACAGTCGACCATATTGCCTGCTATATATATGTATGTATATGTATATATGTATGCGTGTATACTGTAGATATGTCTAGATGTATACACAGCAAACATCTACGTTCATGTATGCAGGTCCATGTATGCGTGAACGGTGCTATAGAGGTGACGGCAATCTGCTGATAATAACTCCACACAAAATCGCAATACCAAACCGCCAAGTCAGGACATTGGCATGCGAACAAGCCCGTTTTCAAAAAAGAGCTTGACAACACCTCGGGGCTAAAACTTGCTGGCTGCCCAAATGGCGCTACAGCAACCACAGCGTTAGGACAGTCATAAGTTATACGGGATTGCAAGATCACGCGCATTCAGGGTGTACGACGCACTAGTTCATGCAAGCAGGGGGAGAGTGAGAGAGAGAGAGGAAACGAGAGAGAGAGAGAGAAACAACAGAGCATACCACAATAAAAAGAGAGGAAGGTATAGAGAGAGAGGGAGAGAGAGAGGGAGAGAGAGACAGAGGAAGAAAAGAACACGACCATTCTGTTCAAGCGGGGTAGACACGTCTCGTACGCGCTTTGCTCATGCAACATCGAACACAATGCGGCGCAACCTGCCTGGTTCCCAGGGGCGACATGCCGCGACTGGCACACACTGGGGCAATGCGCGCTGCGAGATAGCGGTGACGTATCCTGCTCTGACTTCCTCCGTTCCGCTTCTTCACCCCACTTCCGTTCCCCAATCTATTATGCCTTCGCAGCCATCGGCGACAAGCTTAATTTTCGACTGCAAAGCGACCGCTCTTGTTAGCTGCAGGGCGGCCCTTCAAGTGGCCCCCCATGTGAGTCCTCCGGACCTCCCTGGCGTCGTTCAGCCACCTCAGGCTCTCCTCAATGTCGAAGCCAACAGCTTCTGGATTGGGGACGTAGGTGCCTACGCCGATGGCTTCCAAGATGGAATTCATTAGTGCTGAGTCGTGACGATTCAGGGCCGCGCCAACCTGGTCGAGCCCTCGATATCGCCATTCGAGTCGATTGCCGAGGAGGTAGTAGAGTGCACAATCGCTGAAAGAGTTGCAGTTCTTGCGCAACGCGTCGTAGCTACCAGCCCGAAACAACGAACTGACTACCCTTCTCATCTCCTGTCCAGGGATCGGCGAGTAACCCATTGTCAGCATCGTCGGCGCATTCTTCAAGAACTTGTGGCTGCCACAATCCGTTGTTGTATTCACCCCGGAGGGGCCAAAATAGTACTCCGTATCTTCCACCACGACGGAGGTATGGAAAACTCGAAAGCCAGGAACGTCCACACCCAGGCAGGTGGCCAACAGCTGAACCTTGTGCTGCTTGACGCCAGCATAGATG